GAAGGGTTAAACCAATAATGGTGTATGCTACCGACAACAAGTTATCAAATTGACCGGAAAATGCGCGGAATTTACAATTAAATACGAGGCAATAATTTTCCAGCGTGATAACGCTTGACCTCATGTTGCAAGAAGGGTTAAAAACTATTTGGAAAACAGTGATAGTTGGAAAGTCCAGCAAATGTACAGATATTATTTTATCTTGCCTTCTTCCGTACAATATTGATTATTGTTCTCAAGCAATGATGAACTCTGGTAAGAGCAAATTGTTCAATGAAGATCTTACATTCTAGGGTTCTAGAAGGCGTTTGTAGTTGTGCAAGTGCTAGTTTTTGACCAGCGCTCACAGAAAGCAGCTGTCTAGTATAATATCGGATGAAGGCAACGGAGCTCCGACACTTTCCTGTTTCGATATGGAAATTGGGAAACCGGAACAAAAGAACAGCATCGTTTGCTTTCGGGTTTTAGAACATTAAACATTACATTTAAGAACATAAATTTTATATTATTTATGAATATGCAAGGAAAGAGTGAAACATTCCAAATCCCAATCGTACTGCTAACAAGTTTGTTGGAATAATTGGAATAGTTGCGACGTAAAAAACTCTTTCGCAAGCAAACTCTGAGTACTCTATTAAAGGACCAAGATTAGTTGTATTTAATTTTTCTCTTAGGTAACTATGATCTATATAAACTAGTATAGAAAAGTTTTGCCCTCTATTCCTTACAGACTTCAGAGATAATATAGTTATATACAGATAGCGTATACTTCTTGTCTAAGGAAAATTATCTGTGATTGTATCGTGAATTGCGAACTTAGCATCTGGGACAGAATAGTTCGTCTGGATATATGTTTGTGTGTATGAAAAATGTTGTCTTTAAGAGATTATATTTAATAAAAATTTAAAAAAATTTTGGATTCCCTTGTTCCCGTAGCCGAATTATAGTAGAACCTCTGAAAAAAGGTGTATGGCGATGAGGAATAGATTTCTGCTTAAAATTATCTGAAATACAAAACCTAACAAAAATATTATTATTATAGACGAATACAGGTAATGATCGAAGATCTAATGAAAACTTTGATTTTTGAAAAAGTGACCGCTTCTAAAAACAAAATCGAAATTGTTATCAAAGATATTAATCCTTTGATCATTACCTGACAGATATATCTAAGAAGGTCGCTTGAAATTTTCAAGTCGATCGGTCTAGCTGTATCGGAGAAATTTTGCTCATCGACTCGGAAAACGTTTCAAGAAAAACGCATTTAAAATTTTTGGAGCCGACTAAATTAGCTTGCAAAATTCTTGCAAATTACCTTACCTTAAGTTTTAAATTGGATTAAAGCTGTCAGTACACTAACCAAGTTCTGAAGAAATTCTAATTTTTGCGTCTCCAAATTAAGGTAATGTAGAAGAGTATTTATTTCAAAACCTTGGCGTTAATAACTTTACAGCCAGCTGGTCAATGAATGTTAAAGATTTTGGGTGCTATGGTTTTATGATGATGCCACAGCCTCTTAATCATATCAGCGTTGCAGACGCCAAACCTTAAAATATTTCTCTTTACTTAACTAGAAACAAGCTGAGCTTTGAAAATGTGGTGAAGTAGCTTAAATATATGTACAAGTATTCATGTTTTTGTCCATCGTTTAACATGCCATCATGTCTTCTTACTTAAACTTTACACTTAGCAATAGTGAGCTTGTCAAGTCGAATTTCGCTTCTAACCAGCAACAAAAATATCAATGCGGTATATAAAGCTTGAAAAAGTTCCGCAAAGCAATTTCAAAGCAATGCCATCTAGGGTTGCACAAACAAGAAATAACTAACCTGAACATTGATACTGATGACAGCAGCCAACCACTTAAGTGGAATAGTCGCATTGCGGACTCTGCGCTGCAGTCGAAGTTTTGTATACGAATGCAATCAATGTTAGTCGGCTGAGTGGTAAGCAGGTGTGATTATGTACATAACAATATTTCTGTGCAGTTTGTATGTCTGCAACATATGAGTGCATATGCAAACATACCATACATATGTACATAAACCTACTGTTTGGAAAAATAAAATACCTCTTCCAATTTAAGTTTTACTGTGTCAAAGGAACAATTGAAAGTTGGGCAAACCGATATGGGCAATGGGCACAAAAAGTTGAAATAGAAAAGTTAAAATAGTCTAGAACTAAATAACTTAAAAATCATGCAATTTACTAGGAAGTACACATACACCCAAGCAAATATGCGTATATACTACATATATAACCAAACAAATGAATTAGGTAAATGCTTAAAATGGAAACTAGTACATGTTTTCACTTTTGATCCGTTATATGCAGTTACAGTTCAATTACTGCAAATTTTTACAGTTAAACTTCGCTGAATACACTTTAGAACAATTTAAGGCCGAAAAAACCACGTTATTACTGTGTTAGTTTGGTAAATATTATATGTACATGAATATATACATATATACACACGTCGTACAAAACGTTATTACCAACAATTGAACACAAGTTGGTTGTTTGCGTGTTATACGCTCATACTGAGACGATTGAGTTTTAACTTAGACTCCGCCTATTTAAAGTGGGCGTAAATTGAGCACAAGCACTGCTATTTGCCAACTGAAATTAAAGTGTTCGCTTAATTAAAACGCCTTAAACACATGCCGATTTCTTAATTGAAAGCGGCAATTTAAATTAAACGGCGATTTCATATTAATATGAATAGCATCTAAACTGTATTGATTTGCTAAATCAAAAGTTAGTATTTATTTCATTGCATTTTCATAACTTCAATTACTCCGAAAACCCAAAAACTTTAAGGTTACCCGCTTCACGTCTTCGGTCGTTACCATCTTTATCATCACACGCGTAAGCGAGTAAATATTGCTTGGGATGCCATGCTACTGTAAAAGTTGCCGCATCGACACTGACATCAGCCACTTTTTCGCCTGTCTCCGTATGCGCAATATCGATAAGCAAATCCTCGCTAGCCGATGCCAAAAGTTTACCGTCGTGACTAAAGGATATCGTACGTACCGGCCAATCTAGGCGTGATAGCACGCGCAAACAGGCTAACTCGTTTGCATCCCAAAGTGAGACGAGCGCGTCTGCTGAACCGGTAGCAAAATATTTACCTGCCAAAAAAGACAAAAATATTGCAATTCCAACCTTAGTTTTTGTACTTTCGCAACATGTTGTAACAAAGTGTAATAGTTTTGTTTAAATTCAAATATTACCAGTGGGATCAAATTCAATACATATGCAAGTAGCAGGATGGGCCTTCAGCACGTGCTGCAATTCTAGACTAGGATAGCTTAAGATGTGCACACAACCCATGCCGTTTGTCAAGAAAAACAGATCACTTGTATTATTCCATGCAATTTCATTCACCTGAAAGCGAGATTATTATATATTAATTATTAAACAAATCAGGAGTAATAAAGTAATTGTCGTGTCGTACCTCAAAGTTAAACTGCTCTTCAGCCCGTATTTTATTTGTGCGCGTATCAATGAATGTCACCAAGTCTTCTTTATTACCAACTGCTATAGTTTTGCCATCAGGTGACCATGTGATATTTATATTTTCACCTTTTGTATTCGTAACGGTGGAGCACTTGCCAGCGCGTATGTCCCAAATACGTACAGTCTTATCACCACTAGCCGTGCTGAGCAGGTCTGCGTTTGTTGCATGCCAGCAAAGCTGGTCCACCGAACCGGTATGGCCACGGTAGGTATTCTCTTTACTCTGCGTTTAAAATAATAGAACTTTTTGTAATTTTTTTATGTACAATATAATCAAAAACACTCATACCACACGATCGCGTTCTAGCGTATAAACAGCTACAGTTTTGTCAAAGGAACCAGAAGCCAAACGTCTGCCATCACAACTCCAGCCCACAGAATGTACCTATTTGTTAAAATTCAATTATATTAATTAAAATATTAATAAATTATAAGCCATCTTGAAATTTTTTAAAGATGATTTTTTTTGCATTGGTTACCTTCGATGTGTGCGCTTTTTGCTCTCGAATTTTACCATGTGTTTTGAAGTAAGCTCTCAAGTCTTCTAAAGACATATTGGATTGTCCCATTTTTTGTCTAATTATTATTATTAAAAATTCTGATTTCGAATTATGTGTATCAAAGTATTACTGTTTTTAATTATTTCTAAAAAGCTGCAACAGATGTAAACAAAACATCATTTGACAGTATGCTTCTTCTTAATATAGCAAATGAACATTCACAATTATATGCGATAATTTAATTAATCTGGCATGATTATCAAATCGTGCGTGAGTTTAAATAAGACAATACTAAAATCTTATATTAACTTAAGACATCCATGACATTGACCTAAGGGATATTACTGCTTCCTTACACGCAGTTTCATCACTGCGTTCATTTGTCCATTGCTGACATCAACTATTCTAACCCTCTATTTAGCAGAACCTATAGAATTTAAGTTTATATAAATATGAGTTACACAGTGAATATAAACTGAAAGTCGATCCAGATCATATCCAAAACAATCGTGTCTAAGTAACCAGAACTGACCAGAATTTACATCATTATAAGCATTACCTTGATAACATTTCCAAAATCATTTTGATAATATATTATGTTGTTATATTATGTAAACAGATAATACCATAATTTATGAATTCAAAAGTTGTTCATAAAATTATCAAAAACAGGAAGTTAACCGATTTCATTACAGATAAGCAAGATTTTTCATTATATTTTAATGTTGGATATATGCATTTTTTATAATCCTACTTTTAGTTGTCTTATTTTATTAATGAATTATGTTTTGCCTTTTATGTGCATTTGTTTTCTGTATAAATCTATTGGCATTTTGTAATATTTTATATATTAAATTTCAAACTCTCACACAAAATTATTAATTGTAACAAATAGTGACAGAAAATTAATTAAAAATCGCGTAAGTTTTAAATATGGCTATAGTAAGAAATATTAAAAATTAGCTAAAGTAAGCGTAATTGTGTACAACTGCTGCATATGTTATATTTTCCATTTTATAGGTACATATATATGTATGTGTAAGGTAAAATTTTATATAAATAATATTATACTAAATTAAATTCTCATTCCTTTAGAATATCTTCACACAGTCTATATTACGAGTATAACCTTTACTATACATTGCCTTAAATGTAAATTCCCTAAACAAACGTTTAACAAATATGGTAGTTCACCTACTTTTTATATCATTTGCCATTAACCGGGTCACTTATAATTTCTCATGTCTAAAACAAACGTTTTTGCACAATATAAAAGACACAAGCTAGGAAAAATGCAAATGCAAAAAATAGCAACATCTTGTCTGTACACTCACGACGTCCATATTTCTTTAATAGCTTTCCAGACTGCGAAATCGAACCGGCTGTGTTTTGTAGTTCATCACGTGTCGCTTCTACATTTTGCGATGACGCCACCAAGGTTTCCAATGTAATAGCGCTTTTTTGGGTTGTTTCAGACAGGTGTCGTGATATGGCAAGCATTTTCTCTGTTACATTGTTCTCCTGTGATACCAAGTTACCACGATTGTGACGTGTTCCCGCACCAGTTCTTTGCCGCAAATCGCTTTCACCCGTTATAGCCATTAGCTCCTCTCTATTAGCCTTCTCAATTTCTATGCGTGTAGAAATATTTGCTTTTCGAAATGCTTGTAATGTCTTCGAAAATTGATCTCTGTGTGAGTCCACCTCCTTGCACAACTCGGCATCACCAGTATCTCGCGCCCAGTCATCGAGGTGTTGTATACTTTTACGCAAAGCCGCCAATTTAGCACGTCCAGCTTCATTTAACGCCTCCAATTCGTGAATACTGCCACGATATGTTAATATATCCTTAAAAACATACTGGTTAAAAAATTCAATAAAGATGTGCTTTGACCAAACATACCTGTATTATAGCTTTGACCTGTAAATTGTTATCAATCAAATCTTGTCGTATTGACTGCAATGTATACTTATGCATATCCATTTTAGTTAAACTGAGCTATTTTACTATCTATTTATTATTATTATTTGATGCAGTCAATAAATAACAAACTTAAGAACTTTTGCTATTTCTTCCTCTTTTTGGTAATTAGTGTGGCACTCACAATGGTCACAGTGTTGTGTTATAGCGGGAATTTCTGTTGGCAAAAATACTGGTTTTCGTATATGATATATTATTTTATTAACATAACTTATTATTTTAGTAAAATTAAACAGCTCATATCTAAAAGAGTTTTGAAATGTACTATAAATGTAAATAAATAGTTTTTTTGCATTGAAATTTGCAACTTTTGAATATACATACATATATATAAACTGTAGCATGATTTTAGGGTTTATTCGCTAACGACAAAATGTCGCATTTTTACGGGTTTCCATATCACTGTCGAGTGAGCACCAGTAGATATACAAAACTTAGTCCAAATGCGGTCTATACTTTCAAATAACCTCTATGAGAAATAACTTTACATACCCTTATTATATACATATCGATGTATATGTATACAAAATGATGTATGTATTAAAAATATAATAGGGAAACATATGTACATACATATGTACCAGAGAACGTATATTACGTTCTCTGTATGTACATGTTCAGTCTTCATAAAAGAAGCAAAAACTAAACTTGCAGAAAGTATAATCAAAACAAAAGAGATTACTTGGCATACCAGAGATACAATTAAAAGTGAACATCGACGCTCTCATACATGCATACATATCTCACTATAATATAAACTCTCTCTCTCTCTTTCCCACAATAAGCTTCTTGGCTTGTATGAATTCTCCGTTTGTAATTTAGATTCATGTTCTCTTATTGAATATATTACTCTATTCTATTCTATACTCTTATTGAAAAGTTAACATTTATAACGACTAAACTGTGCGCTACACCTACGAGTACACTTTCAAAAGAAATTTTTTGTAGAAACTTTGTATATACAAAATCAAAAGTAATAGTAAACTTTTATGTATTTAAGTAAGGTTCAATGGCAGCTATGTGTTATATTTATAGTTGTCAATCTGAAGAAAAGAACGTCGGAGAAAAGGACGTGTGCCTTCAGATCGATATCTCAAAAACTTAGGCCCTAATGCGCGTATCTACAGAGAAACGAACAAACGGACATGGCTAAATCCACTCAGCTCGGCACGCTGATCGTTTATAAATGTATATATATATGATTTTTAGAGTCTCTAACGTTTCCTTCTGGGCATAACAAACTTCTTGGCAGACTTAATATACCCTGTTCTGAGCATAAAAATCAAGCAATGAAAAACAGTACATTGTCAACTATTTATTATCTGATTGAATTGTTTCTATTAAAACAACAGTAACAAGCAAAAAATCGTAAGTGCCGTTTCACATTGGGACGCAAAAGAGTCTCATACCAGTTTATTGTGGGTGAGGGGACGACGAGGAAAGACGAAGGGACCCGAACACGAGTGGCACGCTTTGTGTTCTTGTTCGTAACAGCTCGCTGCTACCCTTTTCAGCATTCCTTTTCACTTTCAAATCCTTTGAATGGTTGCAAGAGCGCTCGGTTTCAAATGAATTCGATCGCAAATTTGAGTTCTCTATTTTTGTATGTAATATGCAAATACGTATGCATAGAATAATAGAAATATTATGACAAATTGTAAATAAGGAGAAAATTAAGATATAGATTATGGAGTAAAGAAATTATGAATTTTTAATACGGAGTAAAGAAATTATGAGTTTTTAATACTTAAAGATTAGGAAATTCCTATTATAAATTTGGCCTTGAAAATATTAGTAGCGGATATTCAATACATTCTTGTGGATTAGAGAATTCCCGTCTTTAGTATTTTTTGAAACTATTTAGCGGGTAGGTACTTGTATTATGCATATTGTTCTACCATATTCATGGTAATTCATTGCAAGCAAAATGTGTGACCATCATCTCAACATACAAATGAAATACGCAGCACGCAGTGTTGCGCGGTGTTGCGCAGTCGAACCGCACAAATATTTACGAACATTTTGTGAAAAGGAATGCAGAAAAACTAGACTCGAGTTGCTGGACTCTTTTTGAACGTGTGAATGCCCAGAGCGACACCAAAAGAAAATTTGAAAAACCTCAGACTCTTTTGAATCCCTGTCTGAAACGGCACTAAGAAGAATTAACTGCGCCACTCACTTTCTTATGATAGATTACACTTACTTAGGAATGTAACTGCGAATTCCCACTTCAAATCTTTCATAACATCTACCATTTCTTATCAGGTATCTTATCAAACGTGCACGCTTACAGCAGCGCTAATATTGCCATCAGTAACGCTGGTAGCACAAATGCCGAGATAACTAAAATACCGCCTAGATTATTACGTTCGCACAGTTTTTGCCATTCGTATTTGTATTGCTAATCGCTCAGCATTTGGCGTCGTCGAATATCGTTGAGCACTGTTTTGCTCTTTATGCTTTCTTGTTAATTCTGTACATGCATACATCGACCGAATCGGACTCAATCATTTCGTGAATTTACTTCAACGCGTTCGGTAGGGTGGTGGCGCACCTGTCAAGTCGAAATTAAACAAGTTTTTGCTGAGCAGCTGTTCGCTTCGACGTTGACGATACATACATACAAATAAGCCTATCCAAACTTTACTTTTACTAGGTATTGAAAATACATATATTCTACATTATTTGTCCATTCTACTTGTGTTTTCACATTTGTTGCATATAGAGTGCAATGCTGTTATAATACTTTGCAGAAGTGACTAGAAATGTTTTTATGAATTAAAAGATTTTCGCTTGTTTATATATAAACAACAAAACAAAAGTGCAATAAATTATTTACGTGGCAATGTACATTGCTAAGACCAAACAAAGCTGTGTTAGAAACAATTTACCAAATACTGGTAGCACCTACTCGTTTTGAACGAGTTGAGTAAAAGATGTGACAAAACAAAAGAAAATGTTAAGGAAATAGAAGGGCAACGGCAGCAAGTGTAAAATTCGAGTATGTGTCTGTTTTAATTTTAAACGTTTTTGCAGTAGAAAATTAAATATTCAATGATATTGCTTACTTTAAGTATTTGAACTCTTGAAATTTGAGTATTTGTAAAAAAAATAGTTGGTAAAAAATTTCTGCTTTCTACATACGAAAGAAAAATAAATAAAGCTTTAAATTTAAAAGTGTTAAACCTTTCGCAAGTTAAAGCTCCAGGAAAACAATGGCCTTAGATTGCATTGAAATGCCAACTCGCTAACCGTCATTTTTCCGCAGCTAATCGGCTAGTCTGCATGGCCTAAAGCAAGAGGTGAATGGCGGTGGCACATTGAAATGGCACTAGTGCACATACATATATTTATATGTAAATACGTGTGCACTGTTATGTATCTATGTATATGTGGTATGAGCGCACAGTTCGCTGACCTTCGCTTTTCAATTAAGAGCGAAAGTTCAAGTCGCCAAAAAAAAAATCATTGCTTATACAAAAAGAATGCCAAATTCGTTGAAAGGGAAGAAGGCATACGTGTTTTTACTAGGTCAATAATACACAAGTGTTGTTTCGTAAAAGTACACGCATTTTATAAGTGTAATTGTATATTTTTTGCAATTAACAAAAGATATCCAATAATTTTGCCGCGTAAGTTAGTTTGAATAATCGTGAATATTTGGTTACAACCACCAGTTGAGCGCATGCACAGGGCACTCGCACACTTTTTGTTGTTTTTACACATTTTGGATGGTGTTTTTTATTTGCTTTTGTTAACTAATGTATTTATGCCAGTCTTGTAAAAGCTACACTTTTAACTGCTCAAATTATTAGTACGAACATGAATAAGGAATAAAATAAAATAACGTATTGTATTTTGTTTTTGCCTTGTTTGAAACCCAACGTTCTTTAAAACATTTATACCAATTGCAATAACATAAGAATAATAAGGAAGTATTTTTTAGTGTTATCTGTATAAAACTACTGCAATTCGTTTCTTCGGCAGTTGATGATCGTGGAGTTTTGATATTTGGAAATTTGTGAACTGCTAATTACCATTTCGAACCAAAATGAAATATTTCGGTGGAGTTGAAGGGTGAGTATAAACAATTAGAACTAAAGTTTTATTATTTAATAATATAACAGTACATATTTGGCATGGGTAAATATGTACATTCATATGTACTTTCTAGTTTTTTCAGTTTGAAATTTCGATTAAAATTAAAAACCTTATATAAGTTAAACGAAACATTTTTCAAACTTAACGATTTTTTTTCAAAAAAACGAACACATTATAGGGCATTTTTTTTTAAAAAGTGTACAATAAATATTATTTTTTGTTTAATTTATTCAGAAAATTGTAGTTGATTTGTTAATTAAAAAAATTGTAGCAGTTGTTAATTTCAGTATTCATATATGCAATATTTAGCATAATTTTCTTCCAGATTAGATTAAGTTGAAGTTTGAGGAATGCACTGCGACATGTGGTCTAGGATTAGTGAAGCTGCTGGGTTAATGATTGTAATATTGCCTGGCTCCTTCTTCTTTCGATTGCGGGGTAATCCAGGAGTAACTTTTCTCTGGGAACTGCCAGTGGCGTTTTCTACTGGTTCTTTCCTCTTTGCGTAGCTCCTTTCGTACTGTGTGGGGACCCACTGTGAAGAACGGTCCCGGTCCTCTAGCTCATTTCCATTGATTCCTCTGTGCCCAGATATCTATGCTAAGATATAAGGTATCTGTTAACATCAAGCTAATATGAAAATCAGTAAATAATTTAAAGCGCTTATAAAGAGTACCAAGTGCTTTAGATGTTAGAAGTATTGGCATTAGCGAGGTTTTGTTTAAAATATTATCAAACCTCGTTCAAACTTTTATGTTTGCACATCGATTTATCCTTTAATAAAATGTTTTGAAAACGGATTTCGTAAAAAGTCCATTATAACCAATTTGCTTGCATTTGTAAACCATGTATCAGTGGGTTTTAGGGAGAATAAGCATACTGATGTTATATACAGTGAATTTAGAGTTCACTTTTTACTCGACTTAAAAACTTACAAAAACTTGATTTTTGGTTTTCAGTCGAGATTTCTTTAATAGGTATATTCTAATTTCAATAAAAGAGTCGAGTGATATTTAATGATATCCTTTCAGATACGACTAATGTCTCCACAAGGTTTAAGGTCATCCTGGCCCCAATTCCGTTCTAGTTATTTATTGGTTATATTATAATAATAAATATATCTTTGAAGACTTATAAATAAGTAATAAAAATATACATTAACAGAATTTAATGAACTATAATAAACGGCGATTCATTTTGAATTTGTGTTAAAGATTTTTCTGCTTAAAAATATCTCAAATTCAAAAACCAAAAAAAAAACAATTATTAATACCATAGATGAATACAGGTAATGATCGAAAGACTTGTCAAACTTTCCATTTGTGACTAAACGAGTGCTACCCACATAAAAAGTTGTCTTTGTGCAAAAATCAACACCCTTTTCATACCTCCGAAACTATTCAACTTAAAATATTCGGAGAATATTTTCAAATACATGTACATTCGTATATATGCAAAAAAAAAATTTGATAATTTGAAATTCACAAGCGGATATAATCCTTCAAACAGTTTCGTTACTAGTGTAATAAAAATAATATGCTCTTGAATTTTAAAAATATAAGACAGTGTGCTTTTTCATTCGTACCGTCACCGCTCTCTTTAGGTAATAAAACACTATAGCCTACAGCACGTATTTAACTCTACTCAAAGCTTAATTTTAGTCTTCATGTTAATACCATGCTATTCATAGCTAAATGTGCTTTAAATTTTTTTAAACGTTGTACTAATGAATTTAGAGATCCGTATGTTACTAAAAATTTTCTTACAACTTTGATTAGGCCTATATTTGAATACGGATCTGTGGTAAAGAATCCGAGTTAACAAATTCATTCTAACAAGTTAGAGTCTGTTTAAAAAACAATTTTTACTTTTAGCCTTAGGGCATTTCCGATGGGATTCTAGGTTAAGCCTTCCTCATCCTAATCACAATAAATGAAATCGTAAAGATTTATTATAACGTAATTTTAGGTATTAGCTGTTGGAATATTTGTTTCTGTAGATGAGCAGTTTTAGATCTTGACGCATAAAAACTATTTTGCCTTTCATGACTCGGCTAATTCGGCGGATCGCGCTCCTCGTGTCGGTTGAGCGGGAGAAGGGTAATTGTTGGTTTATTATTATTATTACTTGAAAAAATACAAGCTTTAAGTAAAAAATCCCCGCAAAAAATTACGAAAGAGAAAAAATATAAATAAAATATTCAATACATATGAACTATGTATAAGTAAGTACCATATATTTGAAATTCTCAATGATACCAAATTCATATATAAATTCCAGATTCATTTTGTATTTGTCACTCTATTGTAACAATTTCATCATGCATCAATTGACAGTAATAACAACAATTATTCTTGTTGGTGTTTTATCGAAACAAGTGGTTTGTGTTAAAACACCCATGAGTTGCACAGATAACAAAAATGTGTACGAAAATTATATTAAGTGTATACATATATACATATTACATTATGTACATCAGCTTCGGCTTAAAAGCAAAACAAACGTATATATATATATATATTTCATCATGAGTAAAGTAACGTTTTATATTGCTCTCCTCCTCTCTACTTCTTCTGTTAACTTATGTAAAGTGATGTTACGTTATTTTGCATTTTAGGCAACGATATGTTTGTTTTTTTTAGACATTATGGTTAAGGACTTAACTCTCTTATATAGACAAAAAAATAGAATGGATTGCCATAAAATAAAAATGATTTCGGCCAAGTAACCGTCACGGATGGCCCGAATATTTTCGACAACTTTTTGCAGCAATTGGGGCCGTATGTCAGCAATAACGCTTTTTTCTGGTCGTTCGACTTCGTTTCTTGCATCAGTTGGATTTTGTAAGCCCCCAAACTAAAATCCTTCCGCAAAATCTTCCAATTTGGTATTTTATTAAGTTATATTATAGATCGTAGACTCACCTAGTTTTATTACTAAATTATTTACGTTTTATAGGGAAATTATTATACAGGCTATATTGGAGAAAAAGAAAGGGTTGGGCTAATTGAGTTAATTTTGGCATTGCTGGGGTATACTTGAAATCATATTTTCAAACAATTTTATAAAAATATAACTTACACATTGAACGACATGTTCGGCATAAGGTTTGATAATATAACGAACATCAATATATGTAGTATTTGGGAGTGGTATCTTATGTTAGGTATATGAGAGATAGGGTAGTATTGACCTGATATTATCTATTTTTGACAATGCAACTGAATTTCATTAAAGTACCTCACATACCATGACTAACATGTATGGAGTAAAATCAACCGGATGTTTGAAAATTTTGTGATTAGTTATATAGGGGCTAGGGCAAGTTTTCACCCGATTTTACTTATTTTCGGCAATTTCGAAATCTTTATATTAGGTATATGGGAGCTAAGGTAAATATTGACCCGATTCAACCAACGACAAACTATCATCAGAAAAGCATTCTCTCCGAATTTTAGTTATTAACATATCTCACACATTGACCGATATTTTCGGTAAAAAGTCAACTATAGGCACTGGGATCCACATATTTGGTACCTAGGTTTAAGCCTGATATATTAATTGGTGCTTTATTTGTATACAGGAATATAAAAGAATCAGGTAAATTTTAAAATTGTGTTATATGGGAAGTAGGCGTGGGTCCCGAGATATGCGATCTCAAATCCGAAATTTTATTAGATATTACAATAGATGAATACAGGTAATGATCGAAGGACTAGTTAAAATTTTGATTTTTGACAAATTGGCGGCGTCCCAAAAAAATCGTATATATGTTGAGAAAAAATGTGCACTTAAAAAATCGGAATTATTATTTTAAATCTTATTTTTTCGTTCGTTACCGAGAAGTTTGTATCTCACTTTATCTTACAGTGGTCCGCTATCGGCAATCCCGCAAATAAGCAGTTTCTTGGGGAGAAAAGGAAGTTTGCAAAGTTTCAAATCGGTATCTCAAATGCTGAAATACTAGTTATTATATATACAGACAGACCGGCAGGCGGATATGGCTAAATCAATCCAGTTCGTTATGCTGATCATCTATATATTACTTTATTGGGCCTTCGACGTTTCCTTCTGGATCTTCAAACTTCGTGGTAAACTTAATATACCTTTTTCAGGGTATAAATATATTTGACAGTTTTGAATTTAATAAAAAGTCATTAAGAATTATATAATACATATTTTTCTAATTCGTTCTCACACTTTCGACACCTACTGTATCTCACAACAATGTAAGCTACTATCAGTTATCACTAACTGCACTATAGCTTTGAACTATTTTTGAACTTGTTGTTGCTTGTTGGCATACCTTCTACATACTATGGTTAGTCGTCACAATCGAAATAAATCGTAATAGATTACAACAAAAATGCACTTAAATGATATAGCTGTGAGCTTAAATGGGTTCTGAGAGGGGTTTCAATTTACGACAAGTGGGTATTTAAACACTTTTGCCGCAATTCATAGCTACATTATTGCAAATGCGTAATAATGCATTTATTGTTGCAAAAATAGAAGAAAAAAAACTGAATAACATATGATAAGGAAAATAAAAGAAAAAAGCAGGGAAATATTTGTTATATAAATTCAATCAAAGGGCTTAAATTTAATATATAGGGTATATGAAGAAAAGGATAACCAAAGAAACGGAAATCAATTTGCTAGGGATATGGTCAATTTTATATAATACATATTCACCGACTAACTCGCACTATTTTAAGAAAATTAATTTCATGAAAATATTGATCAACATAAACGGTGTGACGTCGGTAGAAAGTTGGAAATCTTAAATTATGATATCTTACATATTGGCCGAAATTCTTGTTTTAGGTATATGGTTGACCCGATTTCAATCATTTTTGGCATCTCAACATATTATTACCGAAAATAATTTTTCCGATTTTGTTAAGATAGCACACTTATTGACCGAAATATACAATATTAAATGGTATAATGTGGGACTACAAGAAGTTTTTAACACAAAGGCATATTATTATTTGAAAAATATTCTCTCTATATTTAAATTATATACCTCTGAGATTGAGCGATATTTTCGGTTAAAAGTCAGCCATAAACACTGGGTCCAGACATTCGGTATCTGGGGGTTTGAAAAGTTATGTTCCAATTTCGACAATTTATGGACGTAAGAAGGCATACCTTAGAGGCAATTTCAATGGTTCTGGTTTTGTAAAAGAATCAGATGGAATTTAATATTGTAATCTGCTTTAGTCAGATTTCATTCACTTTCACATTGTAACATATGCATAAATGACAGTGCGTCAAACTAAGTCGAAATTAGCAAATTCCTGATCCTGATCATTTTGATACATGCGAGGTGTGTTCATAGGAAAAGGTAAATTTTGATTTTTCACGGACTGTGTACATTCGATTATCGATATTTTTTTGTTATAATCGGACAGATATGTTCATCATGTGCTTGTATTATGCTAGAAACAGTCACCGACGCAAAACCGTAGACCGAATCAGCTGATACGACCTATCTTAAGACAGTGCAATGTAAATGAACACTCACCACCGCTTCTACCATCCGCTTTTACAGACCGTACGGTAGGATATCCGCGAAAACTGGATTTTACCCGTAGAAACGAGTGAGCTAATTGATTTCTTGCAACGCAGGGTTGCCAGTCTTGATATTTTGTAGTAATTGAAAAATAACATTAAATATATTAGAAATATTCTTAAACTAACTCAAAATCAAACTTGAAATATTGACTGTGAACGTTGAGTTTATAAGTGGCAGAAGGCCGAGAACATGTTGATGACAATGAGCAATCTGGAGGTGCGATCACGTCAACAAGCGAAGAAAACATCGAAACAGTAAAAAAATTGTTCTTGAAAATCGTCGAATCACTATTAGGGAAGTTACAGAATTTAAATTTTGAGCAATGCACCAGCTCACACATCAATGCTTTTTTGTCATTTTTTGGCCAAAAACAAAACCGTAGTCATGCCTCCCGGCGACTTTTTCCTATTCCCAAAGCAGAAGAAACCAATGAAAGAAAAAGGGTTTGTCATAGTTGATGAGATCAAATCAGAATCGAGGAAAGAGCTGATGGCCATACCGATAAGCACATTTCAGAAGTGCTTCAAAGATTCGAAAAAGCGTTGTCGCAAGTATATTATATCCAAGGGGGATTACTTTGAAGAGGACAAAATAGATATTGACGAATAAATAAGTACTTTTCAAAAATATTCAAAATTCAAACAACATTTCAGTGAAGAAAACTATTATACTCTGTGGCAACATGTTGCGGGAGTATAAAAAATATTTTAGTAATAACACATTTATGGTGCATATTTTTAATTTTTTTTTAGTTTTATTTTCACTTAATTCCAACGCAATTTTTAGAACCCAAATTTAAACTTATTGCTATTTAAAAATAACCAAGCAACGTTATTTAAATGAGCGAAATTGTGCGCGTTAACCTTTCTTGGTTGCTCAATTAAGGCCTTTGCCGCGTACGTCACAATTAATCTTGATTGATACAGAATTCTTCCAATTAAAAAGACCACCAATAATTACATATGTTTTCATACACATCTACACTATTCATATATTTATGTATGCATGTATATATGTACGTAGTTTTGTACACTTGTACTTTCATTGGAGGACATATTCATCTATAATATTTCATCAATTCAATTAATCGCACGAGTTACACACTCATTCACACGCGTTCCAGCATCTACATATACAAAAACATATACATACTGATACACATATGTACATAGTAAGTGCATGCACTGTTCTTTTTATAGACACTTACTTTTCTTACAATAATTGGCAATTGCTAAGGTTTGCATAAAAATAGAGTTACAAGCATCGAGCATACATATGTACATACAAATATTTATGTATGAAAAAAGCCATTAGTCGCTTGACAGGCCTCTTAATTGACAAAAGCAGAGATTTTACTTAGCAACAACACAGCTTGCCTAGTTTTTTCAATTAGAGTTTTGGGCAGGCCCCCTATGTGAACGAGATGAAAATTATCAAATCTAATAACTAGCTTACAGTAGCTACCGCAATATAGGTCCTCGCAATTTGCTACAACATCAAAAATGTATTTATAAATGGAATGTGTAATAACACAAATGAGTGGAGGGTTTTAAGATAACTGCCAGACATGATAAGCTAAGAGGTTTATCTGTCTGTGAAGTGGAAATTTTTTACATTAAATCAACTTAGTGAACACGTTTTTGGGGAGTACGAAAACTGACACACGTATAAACGTGACAACTAGTTATAGCAAGAAATTTTCCTATAGAAGTCTGAAGTAGTGAATTAAGGGTACACGTTACTTAAAAATAAATTATTTATCTAATACCTCCTTTTTGATATAATTTATCGGCTCAAGAACCTATTGAAATAACTATGCGTATAGTTCTACAAGACTTTTTGCAATAAGGTGGAGGTCTTATTGGAGTTGGTTTAGAGAATTCCACAATTTGAATTTGGGCGTAGCAGAAGATTGGGTCAAAAATATTTATTGTAATTGAAGGGTATAATCGTTTTAATAAAATACACATGTTTTGGTTTAAATGAATTGGAGTTGCAGGAAATTTTTTCTTGGCTCCATTTAATTTATTTTAAAATATCTACTTAAGGCTGCTTTCGGTCAAAGAAACGTCAATCTCCCTTGAATTCCTTTCGCCGCATCCTTAGTATACTGGGTTTTGAAGGTATTGAAAACTTCTCGACACTTTGAGGGTTTGATATTAGTTGCCTCGATAGATTTGTGTTGGGCTTAAACCGTTTCGTAGATATAAAAGGTTCTATTGATCTAGGACTTGTTAGCAGCACTAGGGACCAGTGTTTCAACTTTCCAAGTAGAATCCCGCGATCTCCAATGCGAGGATCAGCCCCGAAACCTAACCTAACCTAGTAGGTTCTATTAATAAGTACCTAAAGTTATAGATATTCTCTACTAATATTATAAAGAGGAAATATTTGATTCTTTGTTTGTTTGAATTGAATAGGCTACGAAACTACTTGAAATTTTTTCACCGTTGGGAGTCTACATTCTCTCTATTGAATATAGGCTATATAATATTTTCAAAAAAGTCCTTACGAAAACGCCAATAATGTAACCCAAGGTGTAAAAAATTACCTAAAAGATTCCTTACATCGCGTGCGCTACGAATATTATGATTATATATAGAATAAAATAATGTACTACGACCTTGCAGAACATATAATTATCTACAAAAGTACTCAGACAGCATGTCTAACTGTTATAATTACGTCACAAGAAACGTTATTTTATTAAAATTTCGCCTTGGTAAAAGCTCTTATTTGTACCTTAGTATTACTATTTATCCAACATTAATTACTTCATTCAATAATTTTATATAACTTTTTGAATTTTCGATTCGGACTTTCCATTAGAAAGATATCACTAATTTAAAAATATAAGTATTAGAAATAAGTCGCATGATGAGCGGCAACCCGCTCGGCTAGGCGCAACGGGAGGGGTGTCAATGTCATGATATAAAGTGCAACGTGGCTCACTCGCCCAATGGGAATTGAATATTTGTAAATAATATTAATTTTAATAATTCGATGTTCACATCTCATCGTCTATATGAGGTCCTCTTTCCACAAGTGGGATGGCAAATGGAGTGATTTGCTAGTGAAAAGTATCTTGTAAACTCCAGCAATATAATAATTAAAACAACAAAAGTTCAAAAATTAAATATTTTATGGTTTTCGAGCATTATTTTGCGAAAAAATATAAACATTTTTAAAAACTATCTCTTACGATTTAATGTTGAACTTTTACCTCGAATAACGGGTCAACTCAGCAAAAATCATTTTTAGTAGATTGTTAAATTCCCTACAAGAATTTTCACTAAACAAGAATTTGTTCAAATGCAGTAAACGTCCAAACAAAATAAGATATCGAAGTTGACACCCAAAACAACCCCGCCTCCCAAATTGGAGAGTTATTATTATTAATACCTTTTTCCGCTATGAAAGGTCCACAAAAGTACTACACTGTTTTATTAAGCATGATTATTTCCCATTCTCACAAAAAGCAAAGTTTTTAGGATGTTTATCGGGGCAATCCTTTTAGTAGTAATTCTTACGGCCGATCTCCGAAATCGAGTTCAATAATGTAATGTTTTTAATACCGAAGTAAATACGGGGAACAAACCAGTTATTGTGAGTTAAGAAAACCCCATTACAAGTATATATTATTCGATTTAAATTCCCACTACACCATGTCCTAAGTTAAGAACCAGAATGGAACATTATTATTGCTTTGTATTAATTCAGTAAAAGATAAGGAAATACCAAATACTTGTATAGGTTGAATGAGAAGTCGTAAAAGTATACTGATATTTAAAGACTTTTAACATTTCAATGAATGAATCTGGTAATATTTATGCTCATCTCTTTACAGTGGTGCCACACACTCACGTCTGGTAATCTGCGATGAGAATGGAAAATCACTTGCGTTAACCTCTGGTCTCGGCACAAACCATTGGATGGTCGGTATACCGGAAGTAGCGCGCAGAATAGCCGATATGGTGGAGCGCGCCAAAGAAGAAGCTTGCATTGCGCACGAGGTGCGTCTAACCAGTTTGGGATTGAGTCTCAGCGGCTGCGAACAGGTGAATAGCATACAATACAGCTATAAATAAATTAACAAACTAATTTGGTGATCCGTTTTGTCTCGTTTGTTTGCATTTAATACCGTACGCTTAGCAAAATAAGCCAAAATACTAAATTCTTCGTTTTCAAGATTATCTCAAGCGTCGTCATCACCATAGTTACTCGTTTGCAATACAGAATTTATGTATGAAATAGTGCTTTGCCTTAAACACAGCTAACTTTTTCCTGATAGCCAAAATAATTTGAGATTTTTTCTTTTGTCCAACAGGAAGCCACAAATGAAGATCTTAAGAAGGAGATGTTCAAAGCCTTCTCTGGTCTTGCAGAGAGTTACGTCGTTTGTAGCGACACTATGGGCAGTGTTTTCACTGCTTCACCGATTGGAGGTATGGTCGTAATTAGCGGCACGGGTTCGAATGCTCTGTTACGTAATCCAGATGGCAGCACATATACTTGCGGTGGCTGGGGGCATTTTATGGGCGATGAGGGTAGTGGTGAGTACAGACTATTATGCTAATAACCTTTCATACGCTTCGCAGTACTAGACTGAGCTGGCTATCCAGATCTAGACATTATTATACCTTAGGAAATTGCATAAGTAATGTGTTAAGTAGAAGAAACAACGTGCAGATGGAAAACTGGGTGGTTTTAGTATAAGATCTTGAGAATTTACAAAGTCGTTCTAAAAGTTTGTAGATTTTCACTTTAAGATTTTTTACAATATTTATGCCTAGCCTTTGCCTTCGACCAAATAAACAAGGTTCTTATAAAATATGACGATAATAAAGAAAAACTTGCTTTTCATTCGATTTAAATCTGATCTAATGAAAAAACCCGAATCCACTATTTGAATACAGTATATCTCTCATTTGTTCTCCTATACTCAAAGCTTAGTCTCCTGGTATTCAAGAGAAGAAATATCTGGTTTAAAAATAGTTCTGTTGTTTCAATGCTGTTAAAATTCTATCGCCAGTCAAGAGCGAGCAATTCTGACATAGTTATTTTGTTACATATTTTAGATCAAAAAAGGACTTGAACTACCATCTAAAATCGATAAATTAAGAAAAGCCGCCGGGAAATACTATACGGCTTGTAGAACCATTCAAATCTCGAATAACAGCCCCTCAAGTTGGGTCTAAGTTACAAAATACTTTAGTTGAAGTCGGAGAAACAACACTTGCCCGAATCTAAATGTGGGGTTCGTTTAGAAAATGAATGCAGAACATTCAATCATATTAATTATAGGGAATTCTAATAAGCTTTTTTTACATAAAACTAAAGAGGTTATATCCTCAGTTTCCATAAGGTTTGTAGAAATGCGGAATATTTGATAGACCTTGAACGTGTATAAAAAGGGTTCCCTGTGACTTTTTTGTTTTCGAAACTGAAAACTCCACTTCGGTAAGCCCGTCATGAGTCGTAAACAAACAGCTGCAAAACACACGCTAATTGACATATGGAGATCAAAATTCACACGAACATAAAACAAGGTTATACCATTCTAGGAAAAAAGACTTGGTTTGCGCGCGCAGTTTAAATTGACCAAACGAAATTTGATCTTGGGTGTATACCACATTTCATTCATTACTTGAAGCCTGTCTTCTCTCCTCCAACCTTATATATTAATTTAATCTACTTTTCTCCCTTACTAGCTTTCTACATCGCACATCGAGCTATGAAAATGGTTTTCGACGACATGGACAATCTGAGAAAATCACCTTACCCCATCGAACGCCTCTGGGAGGTTATCAAGCAACACTTCAATGTCGATACACGCTTCGACCTACTGCCACACTGTTATGCCAACTTCGATAAGCCGTTCTTTGCGAGCCTCTGCAAGAAGATCGCACATGCAGCCGATCAAGCTGATGAGCTCGCCAAATCCATATTCAACGATTCCGGTGCGTGTGTAGCGCGTAGCATAGTGGCACTGACGCCCAAAGTACAAGATGAACTCGTCAAAACCGGCGAATTGAGCGTGGTGTGTGTGGGCTCCGTGTGGCATAGCTGGCATTTGCTAAAGGACGGTTTCGAACGCGAGATGTGCAAGCATGACGTGCCATTCAATCTGAAATTGGTCACCATAACGAAGAGTATGGCATATGGCGCTTGCTATCTGGCCGCTGACGCGATCAACTATCGACTGCCGCGCAATTATCTGGATAACTTCGATGTCATGTATCACTATCGCACAACACAGAAGGCAACAAATGGTCACAGTAATGGCACACAGCGTGTTTCATCGACGGAAAGTGTTTCGGTGCATGCCTAGAACTCCGTAAAGAACACAAAACAGTAGTATCAATGCTATAAGTTAAGAATATCGAGTAACTATTTGTTGAGTCGCTCCAAATTCCATAGGTTAGTACCTACACATATACATACTTGTATAGACCGTAACAAAATTTACTACTTCTAGTTGTAGTCTTAGTTAAACAAATAAACAAATATAACTAATAATTTCGCTTTTTATCAAAATCAAATTGATTCGTATCATTCAACGTCACTTCGTCAACTGTTCGGTTTTCCACGCGCCAACGCCACACTTAACACTGAATTGTAAAAATCAAGGTTATTGCGCCATGCCTCCGTCTATATGTTCGTCGGCATACTATATTATTCTGATAAGCAAGTTTTGTGCAACAACATCAATGCCATAATATGAACTTATAAGCACTCTGATATCGCTTGCTGGTCGCGGAAGTGCGCTTGTAGTATTTACAGCTATTTATGCACAGTGTAACGCGTACGGTCATTAAGGGAAGACAAATTTATGGTAGGTTATAATTAAATACATCATAATATGTATAGGTAAAAGCTTGTTTTGATAGAATTCCACATCATATTTGTTGACAATGCAATAATACCGAAAGGTTATAAAGTCAACGGAAGGACGGAAATTCTCATATTCGGTTAATAGAGATTAGGAAAAGATAGGTCTGCTCCAAATACTTCAGATTGCTGTCATATAGTGTAACATTGGTACGGAATACTGGTCTTCTGGGCGTACAATAAAAGTCCCAATTCAAACTACAGCACTATGGAATATACAATGAACGTAGCTTTTTGAAGTGAAATGTTTATTCTTCTGGCTGTGGACGTCTATTATGTAACTACTTATCCCATATAGAGCGACCCAATAATACCTTTGTGAAGCAAATGCCTTAGCGAGTATTACTTCAAGTCCTTGCCAACACAAAAAAATAATCGATAGTTTATGAACCGGAAATGATAACTGGGCCGAATATCTCTTGATCCAGTCAGAAAATGTCAAGCTCGATTTGAATGCGCACATCGATTTTTGGCAATCAGTCTATAAAATGAAATCTAGTAAAACCGACATATAAAATAATTACACTAGTTTACAGTCATTTTGCGACTGTGTACGTGAAAATTTTTTGAACTCAAATACGTAATCAACCAAAAATACCTCAACAGAAATTTTTTCTTCAGATTTGTTGAGTCGTGTTATTTGCATCTCGCCAAATATGCATACCTTTATTAACTTTAATTGAGCAGACCTTTACCTCACCATTACCACGGATGTAATATTGGATACCATCGATTCTGCAAATGATTCAAGTCTGATTTAGTCCTATTCACTCCATATGGGTGAATCCATTACAATTTTACACCAGGTCAATCCAAGAATTATGTCTCATGGCGAACCGAACTCAGAAGTTCGACAACTGTTAAATCCGATCCGAGGAAATGCACACGTAATAGAAACCTAATAGGTGGAAATACTATAAATACTAGAAACCTTCAAAAACTCCATAATTTCTTAAAAAGGACCCTGCAAATAAACTATTTTTTTATGACTTCCCGACATTTACCTGGAACTTCTGTCTTCTTAGAGAATAGGCCTTTGGCCAGCTTACAACTTCTTAGAAAATAAAAGATGCCAACGCTGTCAACCATGCCGGCTGAAGGGGGCTTATAACGTCACTCACACCACTAACTCAGCGTCAATGTAAAGGCATTCTTAAAGTATGATTACTGAATTTTTGGCGGAAATTGTAGGACTCCACGCACTGACGACGAAGCCTTTGAATAGCACCACATACCACAGGACCAAATTTAAAGTCGATTAAAGATTGTCTTGGAGTAATGACGTCATTATAGTTCAGCGAATTAAAATATACCAGCTACCCATGGAAGCTGCCGAGTTAGACCAAACTTTGGTCGTATATAAATTCGATTCCACTCCGATTAGGCAGTCCCGACTGTTATGGAATCGGGGCTTTCACTTCGATCACCATCAGCAGCGACTTGCGAAGCGACAGCTATTAGCTTAGACGGTTATAGGGTCAAGCAAGAAGTAGAACTCACTTCTTCTATCATCTAATTTTCAATTCGTTTATTATTACAAAATAATTCTTGAATATAAAACCATCCGGTTCGCACACAAAACACTTTCGTTTCGTTAGAAAATGTGTAAAACCTTTATTTATCAGCATTTTTAAATATTTGGAATAATGTTTTGCCTACTCTGTCATTTATTAATTTGACGTAATGCAATTGTTATGCGCACGCGTAATTTCTTTGCTTAATATTACGTTTTTAATTCGCATTTTCCTCTCAGCGTTGACTGCGGCTTAAACAATTCCATGCAAGCGAAATTACCGGAAAATATGTTTGAACTTTTTGTTGTTGTTGTTTTTGCTTTTGGTTTTGCGCCATAACGGCACTACTTAATATGTGTGTGTAAATAATTGGTTATTATTGTAATTGTTGTAAACATGGTTAGCTATTTAAAGCCAAATACAATTTCTTTTTGTTTTCCCGTTTTTGTTTTGTTGTATAATCTTTGGCCTACTTATTAACTCTCGCCCCTCCGCTTTGCCTAGCATACAATAGCCAATCAATCGTATATAAATTTGTTGTATTTATATGATAAATTGCAAGTTCAAATGCTTTAATACTAGAGTATTATTTATATAAATAAATATTTTGTTTAAAATTTGAGAAATGTTTCATTGTTTGTGTATTTCATGTATACCTTTCTTTCATATTGTATATTATGTTAAACTTCGTGTGTATGTATGTGTGTGTGTGTGTTTGTTTGTTTTAACTTGAACGAAATGCCTACTGTTTGACTAATACATACGAAATATTTTATAAATTCATTAAAGTTTATGCTTATATGTATGTGTACCTAGCATACCGTTACAATATTTTATAATAATAATAATAATATGTTAATAATTAATAATATTTATAGATAGAGGTTAATAATTAGAATTGTGTATTCGCTCAATTGTTCGTCATGCTCTGACGCAGTTTGTTCGGATCTTGGTAGTGCGATGAAATCATCGTCGGATGCTGTGGCGGCGGAAAACAGCGCACGTGCTCTACGTTCGAGCCCTCGCCGTCGCCACCCTTCAGATATTTATTGAGTATAGCAAATATTTGTGAGTTTAATACTTGAAAGCGGCGTATGCGATCGACCATGCGTTTCAGTTTCTAAAAATTAAATAAATAAAAATTAAAAAAATAAATAAATTTATACTTATAAATACAATATCAAAATTTCCTTCGCACTTACAATGCCCTTGACGTCTTCGTCCTTGCCGTCCACGCGTTGTACGCGCAGAATGTGATAGCAAAAATCTAAAGCCTCAAAACGTCGCTGTTGACCCAGCAATACGATCATAGCGCAGCCGGCCCAATTTAAGCCCTCACCGAAGAGCTCTTCGATGGTATACTCTGTGCCGCGCACCGGTATACAGTATACAAATTGTAAAGCCGACCATAAGCGATGGAATTCCGAGCATTCGTCAACGTGTATGATACCGTTAGCTGGCGGTGGCCCGCTCCAAACAGGATCATCCAAATAGCTTTTGATGCGATTGAGTATTACCTCGAAAATGCTCAGGCCACAGCAGAGACGTTCGCGTGTAAGTAAATCACCTTCACGCGCAATCATCGCTTGCTGGCGGGAAGGAGTAATAATAAAATAATATAAAAATATAATAAAAACAAATAACACTCACTTTTGCATTGCCAATTTTCTCCACGTTGGACACGATCTGCAGGTTTGCGAATTGCGCCTCGAAACGTTTCTGCTTGGCCTCGGGCTTTTCATTTTCTGCGGAGAGAATTTAAAAAAATCAGAAATGCATAAAAATATATTCAAAAATTAAGCAACAATACCTTTGCAGAATGGACGCGGGAATATATTCTGGAAGAGCGCCGCATGCAGCAGATCACACACTTCTTCCTGCGAGAGCGCCTGCTCGATGAGCAAGCAGAATATAATGCAATTGCCCAGTTCACGGAAGGACTGGAAAAGATCGGTTTTCGTTTCAGGATACTGCACAATATCGGTAAGATGCGCTTGGTAGTAGCTGAGTACGCCCGGAGAGCCATATTCGCAGCGCGGTAATTTGCACGACTTCGGCATAGCGCCCATTAGGGTTTTGGTGAATTGCAGCAGCGTGCCCTGTATTTGCAGCTTCACGATATCTTTTAGTATGATATCAATGACGACAGCAATACCCTGATAGCCGAGCAGCCGACACATGGCGTGGAAGTGGGGTGCACCGATGAAACCCGTGTACTGACCATATTGCGTCGAGTAGGCGGCATTCAATTGCTTTGAGCCCCACAGGTAGAAATGTGCCATTTGTGGTGGCTTCTCGCGTTGTATGGGCTGTGATGAGGCCAAATTTACTTTGCTACGCACGAAGCTGAATAAAGAGAGAAAATATTATTAATACTTGTAATTATTGAAAAATATTTTTTAATAAATTTAAAAAAGTTAAGTAAAAACAAATTAAGACAATTCAATATAAATATTAAAAAAAATAATAATTATTATAATAATAAAAAAAAAAAAAATAAATTTAAAAAATAATAAACATATAAAAATAATGATTAAAATAATAAAAATTAATAAAAAAAATATATACAATAGTTAAAAAGATACATATGTATGTACATACATATTGAACAATACTAAGTAAATATTTAACAATTAAATATTTAGCAGAAAACATAAAACAATAAATGGAAATAAAAATAAAAAATACGGAACAAAATTAAAATTAAACATCACGTAAATATTAAACAATAAAATTAAAGAAAAGAGAATATTAACATAAATAATATTGAAAATAGAAATATTAATACAATTTCATGAAAAAGTGTTTGGTAAACAATATAATATATATATATATGGGAAATTAAATAACATGAAAAAACTAAATAAGCAAATAAATCATTAAATTATAAATAAAATTTCATAATAAATAAAAATTATCATAAAAATTTTAAACAAAAATATAAATGTTAGCAAAAAATAATCATTAAATCAAAAAGGAAAAAGTTCGAATGAACCAAAAAATTATTATTAAACAAAAATTTCAAGTAAACAAAAATAATAACAGAAAAAACAAATATTAAACTAAAAGGAATTGCATAAGAAAATATACATTAAAAAGAAAACAAAATTTTTACAAAAAAACAAGAAAAAACGTTA